CCTGGTTCTAGAACTTTGAACAGCAGCACACACACACACACATACACCACACACACACATTAAAAAATTAAGTACCTACTTTGAATCAACAAATAGTTGACTGAAAAGAGTCAAACAAATTTCAAAAAATCACGTATACAATGGCATCTGGCTTTAATCTTCCCTAATTTTTGCTAAAATAATTTTCAACACTCATCTGAGATTTATATTGCAAGATTTCAGTTTTTTCCTTTTAATTTGCTTTCAACGAGAGAACATTTAACTGGGTCTGGGAAGATAATCACACATGAGGTGAAGGAACACGAAAGCTTCTATTCACATAAATTCAGACAATCATAAAACATATTAATCAAATAAACTGAATTAAAATTAAACTTAAAAAGTATATTCTATTAATATTTTTTAAAAATTTAGTGCCCTCATAAAGATAAACATCATATTTATCTGTTCTTTTTTCCTAAAATCACTTTTATTCTTCCTCTTTCAGGGTTCTAGGAGACTTCTAGCTTTTATTCTTAACTTTTGAAGTTAAATTATTTCTAATTAAATGTCATCTCTGGGCCAGGGGTTTGACTTAGTGGTTCTGCTGCCTGTCTCACAAGCACAGGACCTGAGTACTATCCTCAGTACCCCCCCGCAAAAAAAAGTCATCTCCAATGCGATTCCTCATAATGAGTATCTACTTTCATTGTATGCTCACTGCACATAATTGAACATGTTATGGGTTTCATACACCAAAATATGTGTAAAACATAGTCTCTATTTTTATGAAACGTGCCTCTATGCTAAGAATATCCAAAAAATGAGTAAGCATTCATGCATGACTGTACATGTGGCCAGGGACAAATGCATGAACACCCAAGCACACACAGCTCCAAATAGTGGAATAAGGAGCAAACCCTTATGCAAAAGAGAACTGCTTGGAAAAATAGGAAATATAACCAATGTAAAAGGCAAAATTTATGTAAGAGAGAGCAGGGGAGAAGCAGACAAGAGAGGGCAGAAAAGCAAAGAGCTTGAGGCCAAATAAACACACTAATCTGTATAAGCCTTTATTCAAGGAATTGTAAACGTAAAAATTGGGAAGGAAAGAAAGTACTAAAGTATGGAGCATGGGATATGGATGATAATTTGGCATCTTTGGTTCAGCAAAAAAAAATTTCAGAAGCACTAGTCCATTGTCTGTCTATTCCATTGTTTTAATGCTTCAGAACTTTCCCGTAAACCTTAGGTATGCATCTATATTCTGCTTGAGTTTACTATCATGAAGTTCAATAAAAAGACTAAACAAACAAAAGGTTTTAGTGTTTTCCCCCCTGAATCTAAGGATATTGAAGTTCCTTGATTCTACAAGTAAAATTCTGAACTCATAATTTTCCCCTTTAGCTCATCTTCTTGTACCTTCTATTTCTCCGTGGGCTTTTAGAGGAACTATGATTTTTCCTCATTTTTTTGTTTGTCCCCACCTTTAAGGTGGTTGTTTTGCTTTGGTGTTTTTCCTATCAATTCCTGACTATTCCTCTGCTAGTTTCATATTTAAACCAGCTATAACATTCTGCAGGAATTAATCTTCTGTTTCCATTCTGTCTAAATTTCAGAATATCTTACTATACAAGCTAAATATCAAATTTCAGAATACCTTACTATACAAAACTTAATATCAAATATACATGTAGTCATGATGTCATTAGATGATTGCTCTTCCTAAAGCATAGTTTTGAGTATCAACCTTATAACTCAACCTTATAACAGCAAAAAGCTTCATAATAACTTAAACAATCACCATGGCTTGGTATTTAAGTCTTTATGTATCCTACATTCTATTTTCCTTTGAACATTCTAAATTCCTGTCAAACCTATTTCTCCCTGCTTTCTGAACACATATTATGTGCACCTGATTCTTGGTAAAAGTACTGTTTACTACACTTTGAATTGTTCATTGCCTACAATTTCACATAGTATTTCTTAATATCTCAAAAATCCTTTAGCCTACCTACTTTGAGGAATGTACTACCAAAAATAAATTTCTCAGTCCTATTACCTCAGTTTCAAAAATATGTTCATTTTATGAATTATAAAGTGAGGTAGGAATAAAAGAAAAGGGATTGTCTAGGAAACTATGGATTTCTGGAATGTATACAAACATTAAAATGCAAACATTGTTGTATTGTTTAGAGTTTTATTGACAGTAACAATGAGGTATTACAAGAGGTAAAATAAGTCAGTACCTAAGCACAATGTACTATGAGAGACACAGGGAGCAATTATTAAGTTCCAGGCCCTCGTTTACAGGAATCTTATGAGGTAGGCATTATTATTACTTACCTCATTATCAGCTGAGAAAACTGATGGAGGAAATGTTAAGTAACCTGTTAATTTCCATTGGACCAGTATCAAATGTGCTGAATCTGAGGCTGGAATACTGAAGGCAGCGCCAGAGCCCATGCTCAGACATCACTGGGCCCACTGCCGCCTGTTGTAACTGCAATCAGCATACACAATCCCCACCAGAGCAACGAGCACTGTGTGTTCATTTTAGGACACAAAATCATGCTCTTGAAATGTTCCTTGACTGTCTTTCACTTCTGTTTAATTTCCAAATAATATGAATTGTATTCAATTATTTGCAACCACATTATAACTGAGAGAATTAGATCCATATTTTTCATTTGCCTCATAATGGTATAAGATTCTTAAATATATTCTTTAAGTATTTTAAGCATCTTAAAGTGAGAAAGATGACAATATGGAGGACTGACGTGCTATTCCATCAATATTTGACACCTAATACAAAGAATTAATAAGAGCAGAAGAAACAGATTCAAAGAATGGCTATTGACTCAAGTTTTCCAAGATAATTAAAATTTTGATTTTAGCTTGTATTATTTAGAGAAAGATAAGGTTTGAGCTACCTCTAATATTTTGCTTTTCTGAAATCTGTAGCAGAGATCTTTTTTTTTATCTATAGAAGATCAATATAAGCATTTTTCATATGCACTAAATCATATGAACATACAATGTATGGCATATTAGCCTGGAATATTTTAATTTTATAAAATTATAGCAGCAGTATATCAGGAATTAAATATACAACTTTATATTATTTTACACATACTATTATTTTTGAGATATGATTCAGCTTAAATTAAATTTATAATAAAACAAAAAAATCTCAAGTAACAAATCTAAATAAAACTACTACAAAACTAACAATGCCATAATTTATCCCAATTATTATTTCAAGTTCTAAAATATAATGTTTAATAAAATATTTTATTAAATCCTTAATTTTTATGTTAATATTCTTAGCACTGGACAACTATATATGTATATTTTTTTTAATTCTTCTTTACATATCCTCTGTATATGGTTTGTAACAACCTGTCAGGATTGCCTAAGAAATGCACTAACAGCTTACACTTATGAATGTCTTTCATTTCTCTGAACTAGGTCTTTTTTCTAAAGGGAGGAAAACAGGATCTGACTTTGTTTGCTCTTTAAAGTTTTATTGTTTTAGCATTTTATACTGGCAGTGAGCATTAGCATACTCAAGAGAACTGCTGAAAGTAAAAGGCCTCCAGCTACCCACTGCATGGCTGATAGGATAAAGCAGGGATATAAAAACTTTTGTATGATTTCTCACTTTCCTTGTTTTAGAGTAGTGCTACTCCCAAGAGCATATATTCATGTTCTTTCTACTTTGAGTTTTATTACTTCTTTTGTATTATTTAATACATCTAAAGATACTTCCAAAAGACAAATTTTTCCATTTTGGTAAAGTAATGGTTTGGAACCTGATTAAACACATTAATGTTCACATTGTGTTTTTCGCAAAGGTGATGGTAGAGTAAAAGTGCCCAAAAAGCAGTTAGGCACAACCTTTTAAAAGACATGAATGTGTCTGATTGAAAAAATATTTAGAAAGTCAACAAAAGTAATATCTCATGAAAGGACATCGGCACACAGAAAGATTGTATTTTGTTTTCCAGTCTTTGACAAGGTATTTAATTCAAAAAATTAAAGGAAGAAGAAAACATAAAAATGGGGGAAAGAACTAATACTACTTCATTAACTTGAAGTTAGAAGAATGTGATATTTAACTCAAAGAAGTATGAACATAAGTTACAACTCGTGCTAACAACTGGATGATATATACACTTCATTAACCAGATTCTAATGTTTCCTTCAGAATTCTAAGTTCTACCAGGGTCAATACTTCTTAGTAAACAAGCATCTGATATGCTGACACTACTGAATAAGATCACGCATTTTTTAAAAGTGTCACACACATTTCTGAAATCCACAATACATCAATTTTTAATACTTCTACTCTCTCAGCTCCATTAAAAAGATGGTAGGGGAAAGATTTTAGAGTAATTAATGATATGGTTAGCTGCTAAATATTAATAGGAATCGTAGTCTTGCATAAAATATAACGTATAAAACTTACCAATACAGACGCACCAGTAATTAAAGTTGAATATGTAATTATACTGATTTATAAGACAGGCAAAAAGTTACACTTTACTAGCTTCTATGTAAACTGTGGGTAACAGTTAAACTTTGCATTTTACGGTTTATAAAAATGGGCAATGTCTTCACTACAGTTCATAAATGGTTTAGAGACCTGTAATAGTAGTAAAAATTATGACAACTTATTCCATCATGAATATTCTTATTACACCATACAAACCAAACTGTGATAATGACCCATAAGACATAGATTCATCTCACACACTGCCTCATGCCCAAGAGAACGTTAGTAGTACTAAGAATCAGTTGAGGACTGCTAGAACAATAATTATAGGGCATTTGGGAGAATTTATAAGACATATTAAAACTAATTTTGATATACTTTTTTAATCTTATGAACACAGTCCAATTTAACTCCACTTATAGTTTTTACTTATCCACCATTAATAATTTCTGAAGAATACTAAATTTTAGAAGCATAGGAATATATTTTCTTCCCTTCAAGGGGTCTGGTTAGCCACACTTAC